TCTTCTCTTTGGAGTCTTTATGACCTTCGGTGACACTAGTTTCCCTGGTCCGCTTCCCTTTGGTCCTCTCATCACTAAACTCATTGTGCGCCTCAATATACCCATTTCCTCCTTCCGGACTGAACTCAGTGCTCAATTCCTATCCATTGATCAAGTCCTTGCTCAGCTGGAGCTTGCAAACGAGGGGGAGATAGATGCTGCTGAAGGGGAGGATAGTGGAGATGATCCTGAGGGGGAGGATGATCCTGAGGGGGAGGATGCTGCAGAAGAAGAAGAAGTTGTTCCTGAAGCTAGCCCTGTGGTAGGTGCAGAAGAAGACCCGATGGAAGAAGCTAACGAGGCTCTCGATTACCTTGATGATGACACTCTGGATCAGTTTGCCACAGCGTTTGCCTATGCTGAAGAAGGATTCTATGTTGCTGCTGCTGCTGTAGCGCCTGGCGGGCTGGGAGGAGGCTTAGTAGATTATAGCTCTGACGATGAGTCTATTTAGGGGGAGTGTTCGCTTTTAAGCTGAAACTATCAGTTTTAGTTGGTTCCTTTATATCCCTGTTGTGACGATGCTTGACTTGTTTTGCTGGATGATTTGATCTTTATTGCCATACTTGTTGGTTCATGGTTTGCTGCTGTATTTGTTGGTTCATGGTTTGCTGCTGTATTTGTGGTATCTTGCTCTGTGGATTGTTTTCTCTCGCAGGACTTAAATCATTTGCAAGCTCTGATCTAGGGGGAGATTGTTGGGCGAAGATCAGAGCTAGCCATTCTTGGCAAGTCTGCATTTTTGGTAATCCTCTGCCAAATCAGAGCAAATCAAGCAACGGCTCTTTTCTTCTAACGGCTAGCCAAGGAGCAGTATATATTGGATCGGCTGTGTTTATTTTCATCATCTTTTGTAATCTTAAGTGCAGCGGTAAAGGGCTGGGTTGTTGAGAGCAAAAGAAGGTTTTCTCCAGAGGTATAGGGTCTGTGAGAGTGGCTGGGTTTAACAGAGTGTGGATTAAACTCTGTAGGTTTCGTAATTTTGTTCATGCTTTGTACTTGTGTCAATAAATCAGATAATATAGTGTCTCTCGGTAATAGTGTGGACTATTACCGGGACGAGGACGTAGCCATTGTTGGTGAACCTCGTTAAATCGCTGCGTTCCTGCTCTTGACTCTGTTCTCGTTCTTAGCTGCTTCTCTCTGTCTCCTTCTCTGTTTTCTTTTGTCGAAGTTTTAAGGCTGCTAAGACAAGAGCCTAAACCTGAACTGGCCCAGTCTTCATTTAAATCTGTTGGGCCTCGAGATTTACTTGGCCCAAACAGTCAGAATTAGAAGAACTGAAGTTTGTTCGGGTCAGTTGTCTTCCTCGCATTTTCATTTCCTTTCTTCTCAATTCTCTCCAAATCCCTAACCCTAGAATCGAACATCATGGTTTTTGAGGAAACCTATGTGTGGGAGGCAACAAAGATTTGAATATCATCAACAACTACAGTCACATAACGGAACAAGAGGTGGACATGGAGAAGTCCTCTGTTTTTTTGCCTAAAAAACATCCCAGATATCATCAGAAGCCAAATTATAGCCCACCTTGGATTCCCACTTGCGATTAATCTTGTCAAATACTTGAGGTGTTCCAACGGGGTGGGCGAGATCTAAGAAAGAAACTTGATCGTTATCAGAAGAAATTCAAGTTCATAAGAGCTTACTGAAATGTGAGTTGGAAAAAACACTCCTTATGTAAGAGATTGCTTGGCGTTAGAAGTATAAAATGAATGTGTTTTCAAAGCGTCACCGAGCGACGACATACTGGGATCTGGGATGCGACATCAATTTGGGCGACGAGGAGGAGATATCGAGAAGCTCTGGCGGTGAAGGCAAGTGCGGACTTGCGGAGTTGGAGGGAAGAAGATGGAGCGATATGCTCTCTAGCCGTCGATCGGTAGAGACTCGGTTCTCTTTCGGTGCGGTGAGGGTTCGATCGGCGGCGACGGAGGTGGAAGATGTGTTGTCGGCGATTTCTGGATTTGAGGGTTTCGAGTTTTGGGTTTGGGGCTGCGATTTCGGCGGCTCGATCTGTAATCCAGAGCTCACAGCCTGGAAATCGAGTAGAGTTGCAAGGGGCGAACGGTGGAGATATGAGAAGTAGTTTATTTATTTTTATTTATTTGCTTAAGTGGTATGAAAAATAAAAAAATTATGGATCTTTGAGGTGGATCACCGTTAGAAAAAAGTTAACGATAACATAACGATAGCCAATAGTTTAACCGATGACAATACGTTTGGCTAATTAATAGTATTTCAATAGGTTTGGCTGAAATAAAAGAATCCGAAAAATGTTTGGGTATAAATAAGACATTGCCAGTAATAAAACATTGAAAAATATGAGCATATTGTTAAATGTTAACTATGAATTCTGATAACTAAAGTTCAAATGGATGAATAACCTATAAAGGCCATTTCAAGTAAAAATATTCATTTGCTAATATTTTTTATTTTTGTCTCTTTTAAGAATATAAATTTAATATATCTATACTAATATTTTTATATTTGCTTTACATAATTGTCCAAATAATCTATTTCCATACCACATATTTTTCTCTTTTCCTTGAATTTTTGTATCTTTAAACTATTTAAATGCAATACATCTATATTTTCTACATTATTTCCTTTTTAATTCAATAGATGACAATATACAATATATAAATCAAAATAGTGATATATTAATTATTTTCAAAGCTTCATTTGCAAGCTAATTATTTCACATATAACGAAAATAAAGCTCTTTGTTGAAATTTGTTGTTTTGATTCAGTGATGTTTAATATCTCAAGGCATGAATATAGATTCTAGATAACTTTTCATTTCATTCGTTGTCTAACTTAAAAACAAAAATTCAATAAAAATTATAAAATTTATGGGCACTAAAAAACATAAACTATCAAGGTACTCTTTCGCACCACCACCAGTGCATGATACTAAAAATTGAACCACCTACGGTTAACTAAAAAAAATACCCAAATGACCACAAACCGGCCAACGGACCGAATACAACACTAGCATGAATTATATAATCATTAAACTCTCCCGGCTAACAAGCTAGGGCCTGTGCTAATTAACCTATCAAAGTTATACACGTGTATGTATATACAGTAAAATTGGAAAGCCTTCCAACGTATCTTCATCATTAACTAAAACGGTGCACTTCACTTGCTCTTCTTGTAGACGACATCGTTGAGTGTCTCTGCCTTCATCTTCCTTTCTTATTCATATTTCATAGCGAAGCCTTGAATTCTTTGTGCAGCAGAGCGGTTGGATTCTTCATCCATCTTATTCAATTTTACTGTATGTATATACAGTAAAATTGGAAAGCCTTCCAACGTATCTTCATCATTAACCAAAACGGTGCACTTCACTTGCTCTTCTTGTAGATGACATCGTTGAGTGTCTCTGCCTTCATCTTCCTTTCTTATTCATATTTCATAGCGAAGCCTTGAATTCTTTGTGCAGCAGAGCGGTTGGATTCTTCATCCATCTTCTCTGTTAAAGAGGTCGAGTAAGAAGAAGGAAAAAAAAAGTAGAGGGCGCGAAATTATAAGCTCGCTACGTCCATAACTTTAACCGAGTTGTTAAATTAATTAAAAGATTGCTTGGAGATAAACAAATGAGATTTAGATAAATTTAGGGTTATGCACCAAATTCGTTCATATATACTTGTAGTCTCAGTGTCTCGCCATAATGGCGTCGCCTCGGCTCGGAGGAGGTGGATGTTCATTTACACCAACAGACCGACCGGGCGGACGTTATGCATACGGAGCACAACTGCTGGTGTGTGTCCTGAGGAGAAACACTGTCTCGTTGATTTCATTATATCCTTTGCACTAAAATTGAATGGACTGTGTCGATTACATGTGAAAAGTTGGTTGGGAACTTTTTTTCCTTTTGATGGTCTAAAAAAAACTGGAGTTCGATTATAAGGTGATGATTATTCAGATCGACTCGACACAACTGCATGCAATTAAATCTGGTGGTTCAATCGACCGACCGGGAGCTAGCAATCGTTTCAGAATGAATTCGTTCATAGGGATGGCGGGTTGTGTCAGGTTTCTCTAAACCCGATTTCAATCAAGCTAGTATATCCGTTGAAAAAATTCGATAAAATATTTAATGGGTAGAAGTGAAAACTTAATTTATTCTAATTGGTACAGTGGTATCCACGAGTTGCATGGATTCCCATGAGGTCACGAATATAATCATTAATCGTACATTATTTCTTGAACACTTATATCGTAATGTATCGAAATTTGTTTAATTGCATACTTACCCATGAATTCGGATTCAATTGTCATCATGCTTTTACATTCTGCTGACTATAGGATACGATGATTAATTTGATCTCCAGTCACACCGATCAGTACGTAATTTGGCCATCCAGCAACGGCATAGCTGTAATTGGATGGACCCCAAAATTGGGACACCGCATTGAAAGGTGGGATATCATGTTCACCGTCCGCATTAAAACAGAATTGAAAGCACTTGATAATTACCATTTTAGCTAGGAACCATCCATCCCAAGAATTTCAAATTATGAAACTTTCTATTATCAACAATATTGTTAACATGGATAGAGCACTCTTCCTAGTTCCTTCTATATGACATGACAAATTAAGTTCGCTTGGAACGGGAAATCCTCGTAACAAAAATCCCGATTAAAACATAATTTATTATTGTATTGAAATTTTCGTACGAACTTGTATCATGTGAAATCGATCTAGCTAGCTAGGTATCACATACTAGATCTTAAAACGCACGGAAAAAAGAAGTAATTAGAAGTAGGTAGATAGAGTGCATTAAATGCTGCTCGATCGTAACTCAATCAAAGCCAACTCACGTCCTTCAGACTCACTCAACTTATTGCTGTGTCGACTGTGACCATTCCCCATTTCCATCGCTTTAATTAATTAATTAATTACATAAAAATGTGTCCGTCCTAAAATATAAAGTTAAATGGGTATAAATATATGGAAGGTATATTATTTGGATGGTCATCTCTTCGTTTAGTTCTATGGAGCTCAGAAAACACTACCGCTGCTGCTGCTGCTGCTTCTCTCCCAGTCCCACTGCTACTCTTTTCATGATGATGATGACGTGTCTTCTTCTTCTCCTCCTCCTCAATTCCAACAGTACTGTAATCGCGGCCTCCTCTTCCTCCGCTGCCGCAACAGGTCCGTGAAATCCTAGGTTTTGTGACGTCAGCTGGATTTTTTAATTGTCATCTTTTTCCTAATTTTGTTTGATGACGTCAGGGCAACTGCATCCGACGGCGGCGGCGGCGGCGGCAGAGGAGGGGGTGTACGACATAGATTACAGGGGACCGGAGACGCACTCTGCGGTTTTCCCTCCGCCGGGTCACTCTCAGATTCAGGGCAGGCCTAATTTCCTCCACCGCCGCACTACTGGCGTCGCACCGGCCGCCGCTATCCCGGTCACCAGTCGCCGTCAGCCACCGGATCAACACAAGTACTGATCCGCTATCTCCAACGTGAAGAGAACGTGAAGGAGGAGGGATTTGCTGTGCAGATCAAAGCAAAGGAGGCGTTTCACTCAGCAGCAGAGCAAGAAGCCAGCATGAATTAATCAAAATTTTCTGCCAGTTTCTTCTTTCTTTTTGCCCTCTTTATTTTTGCCCTTTTGTTATCGGATCATGATAATTAATTATAGTTATTTTTTATGTGATATAATCAGTGGCGTAGCCAGGATTTCATTCAAGGTGGGTCCGACGTAAAAATAAAAATATATATGATAAATATAATTAATATTTACATGACCCACGATGTGTTTTTATAGTTTTTCGACCGATTTCGTTTGAGGATGGAGAAATTTACCCTAAATTATAAATTAAAAAACTAAGAATAAACCATTAGAGATGTAGTTTTATGTAAAAATCTAGAATTAATTATATAATATGTAAGGTTAATATGTGCTATAAAGTTTTCTACAATATGTTAGTAGAAAAGTAGTGAACATGAGGGGTTTGATTTTAACATTAGGGGGTTCGTACAAATATATATATTGTGAAGTTGCGATTGTTTACGTGAGATTGTTACTTGTATTGTGAGATTGGATTTCGTATTAATATATATATATTTAACAATCACAACTTCCAAACAAGCATTTAATCTCGAGCCAAGGTAGGTCCGGGACCCACCCTCTTCCAAGCTAGCTCCGCCACTGGATATAATTATAGTTCTAGCGAAAGAAGGCGGGTACCGGGTACAGACTACAGAGGCTGTTGCTTCTGTAAATTTGATTTTGTTTTAGTTTTCAATATGTGTATTAATGTGTACAATACCTTCTGGTAACAATTAAATTTGTGTGTTATTTAGTATTCTAGTTTGAGAAATTTTACGATGCTATATAGTATTTTTTTTTTATCCAAGATAAGCCCCCATGGCATGGTCGGACAACAAATATATAAGAAAGATAACAATAAAGAACGGTAGTCCGTATGCAACCGGACTCCCGATAAAATAGTCTTTTTTGCCACTAGGTGGGCAGCTCTGTGAAATCTCAGAAGAGCAAAAAGACACGAAACTGACTCAGAAAGAGAGAAGAGCACTTCCCCAAAAAAGCACCGTCTGAGAGTGAGAAGCATTGTGATTGAGTTCGAATCCGAAAGCAAAGGAAAGATTCCCTGCAAAAATACAAGCAAACTAGCCCATATATGAATATACAAAATTCTATCACAAGATATAGAAACAAAGGCATGATCTGGTACCGAAAACAACAACCAAAAATGTTGTAGATGAATATATAAGACGATCAAACTGACCGAATACAACAACCAAGAATAACAGACCATCAAACTTACCGAGATAACAAAAGTCTCCCATCTCAAATGTTGTTAGGCAAAAGAAACGACCAAATTATTTACAACAGGCTAACAAGAGCTCAAATCTAATAGCAGGAAAGTACAAACAGACACTATTAAAACACACAACACATAGTAAAAATCCCAACCCGAAAAACCTTACCCAAAGAAACTAACCCGACACTAGTAATTAAAAAAACCTTAAAAGGAAGAAACAATAAATGACTAACTGAAAGGTAATTAATCTCAGATTGTCGTTATGGTGCTATAGGTTTTTGTAGATGAATATATAAGACGATCAAACTGACCGAATAACCTTACCCAAAGAAACTAACCCGACACTAGTAATTAAAAAAACCTTAACACTCTGTTCACTAAGGAAGGAAATGGAGGGGAAGGGAAAGTGAAGAAGGAAAGTGGGATTCTCAATAAGTTTTCCATTGTTTTTTAAGGAAGGAAAGTATGGAAGGAGGGAAAACTTTCCACCTTTTGTACTGTTGAACCCTCCCCTCCAATTTGGAGAGAAAGGAGAGGGACACATACATGGTTCTTTCTTTTATCTTTCTTTTTTAATATTTAAGTCCATTAAATACTTGTTTTCCTTCCCCTTTCATTTTCCTTTCTCTCCCCTCATTTTCCTTCCCTTTTCATTTTCCTTTCTCTCCATTTTCCTCTCTTCCTTCCTGAACATAGTGTAAAAGGAAGAAACAATAAATGACTAACTGAAAGGTAATTAATCTCAGATTGTCATTATGGTGTTATAGTATTGGTGCTATAGGTTTTTGTCATTATGATACAACTTAAAATTGTACATTTACGTTATGGTACAACTTCAGATTGTATCTATACTTTTGTTGGTACAAATTCTTTTATGGTACAACCTGAACTTGTACCTTTATGTGATGGCACAACTTCAAGTTGTAAAGTTGTACCATAACATAATGGTACAAATTGTTTTATGGTACAACCTAAACTTATACATTTAATGCTATTGTAGAACTTTAAGTTGTACATTAAAGCACCGATGCTATATAGCATAGTAGAAGTGCTCTTCTAGTTTAGGTGTTTTCATATCGGTGTCATTTGAATTTATGGATCAATCCACCAATCCAATCTATCAATCCATGTATCTAATCTATTTGTCACCTCTAGGTAGAGCTCATGAGCTCCTTACTGAGTCAAAATCGATCTCAACTCGTTTCATAACAAGGCAAGCTTAAGTTTAAGCAAAATTCGACCCAATTCGACTAGTTAAGAAGCAAGACGAGCTCAATCTCAACAAAACAAAATCTGCTCGACTCAACTCATTTTGCTTCCCCATCATAAAGTGGTATTGTCTTGTGGGTCACATTTGTATATTTTGTGGACTTCTGGTCAGGTCCAAACATTATAACACTTCGCTATTAGGTAATGAATCCGATTTCATCATTATATAAATAAATCTCTTGATAGGTTTGACTATTGACCCCTTATTTACCTGGTTATAATAAAATAAAATAAAAAAGACTATTGACCCCTTATTTTTTCTGTTCCAATTTTTTCCTTCTCTAACTCTCTCGAGCAAGGTTGTCAACCCGCGGGTTGACCCGGGTCCGATGAGAAAAGCGAGCTGCACGTACCCGTCGGGTCGACTGCTACAAGGTCTCGGGTTGGAGGTCAAATTGTGTAATATTTTTCTTTGGTTTGCGAAATGTAGGGCTGAAAATTTGCCTGTCCCGTCCCTGTCCCTGTCTGACCCGTCCTTGAAGGGTCAAAATGTATAACCGTCCCGTCCCGTCCCTGTCTCTTTTTTGACCCTGTCTGACCCTCAAGGGTTGGGACGGGACGGGCCGGGTCAGTGGGTCGACCCTAATCAACACACTACTATTTTACAAATTACGTTTTGGTACCCAAAATTATTTTTTCTTACAATTTAGTACCTAAATATTATTTTTTTACAAATAAGTCCATAAATTTTGATGGTAAAATTACGATTTGGTACCCAAATTTTTTTTTTTTTACAAATTAGTACCTAAACTTTTAAAACTTTACAAAAAGGTCCAATGAAGTATGAGATATTTGTTCTGGCTAAGGGTCACAGGGTCAAAATGTGACCCGTCCCTAAGTTGTCCCGACCAGTCCCGACCCTTACAGGGTCAACAAATGACCCGTCCCTAATCTGTCCCTGTAGACAAACTGACCCGTCCCGACCCTTAGGGACGGGACGGGTCGGGACGGGTCAGTGGGTCTTCCGGGACAAGCTTTCACCCCTAGCGAAATGCGCCTATTTTCCGATTTTTCTTTTCGCCCAACTCTATTTTCGGAATCATAAGTTGAACATTTGAATATTGATGTTATATAAGTGTGTGAATTTTCACTATATGTTGGATCTATGTACGACATGTTATTTTGGTGTAATATTATATGTTATAACTAAGTAAAATATAATAACTCTTTCCATATTTTCGGGCTAAACCAGACTAAAACATATGATCCTTTAACTTTTGATTCACTAGCTCGATCGGGTCCGGGTCAACCCGCGGCTTCACAACCTTGCTCTAGAGTCTGGTCTCTTCCAAAATTTCTTGCATCGATTTTTCAAATTCCTCCTCCATCCCTCATTTGCCTTCCCTACCCGTCCATCAATCTTTCTTCTCCATTCGCGCAAATCCCTAATCGCTTAGCCCACTTTCTTCCTCTCCCCGCGCCCGTCCTCATCGCCAAATCTCTTTCTCCAATCAAGACAATGGCTCAAACCAACACCGCCAATACCCTCGGCTCCTCCAACGACGATCGCGAGGAATCAAGTCCTCTCTTGAACATGGCGACCACCGAGGAAGAACAAGTATCCGATAAGAAACCCACCAAAGTATTGGCCGCCACCGACACCAAACCCGCCGCCACAGCCGCTTCTCCACTGGCAAAATCGGCAGCGGCTGGGCAGGGAGGTTCTGCCGCCGAGCATGGGTGGACGACTGATGGATTGCCGTTGGGTCACGGAAGCGTGGTGGGGGAGCCTATGGGCAGGGCGCAATGGGATTCAGGGATCTGCGATTGCCTTGGCCGGAACGATGAGTTCTGTAGCAGCGATCTTGAAGTCTGTAAGTCTTTCGATTAGTTTCCATCCTTTTCTCGTACTTAATTTTGGGAGATTTGCTTCCTTATTGATCTCTGGGATTTTCCCGAGTTCCGTATTCTTGACAAATTGAACCGTAGGAGAGACTTGGATCATCTGCTTAATTGCAGGAATAATAATGGGAAAATTATGTTCAATTCTCACGAAAATGAAGAACGCGCTATTGTTTCAATATTCACCCCTTTTTGGGTATATTTGTTTATAAGGAGCATAACTACAGCGTAATATGTACCCTTGTCATGATTATCACTTCATCCATTTCCCTGACGTTGGTGATACTGGGTCAAAGACTCTAATTCATGACGATCAGCAAATGTATGTCATGCCCATGATTCATGGTGGTCAGATAATATATGTCTTGCCTTTGATTCATACCGTCCCATTCATCCTGTTGTAAGATGAAGGATGGTTTGGCTGCGACTCGATGTAATATGTTGTTACGCGTTATGTTAATAATGAGATGATTTGTGTTGCAGGTCTTCTTGGCAGTGTAGCCCCTTGCGTGTTGTATGGAAGCAACGCTGAGAGATTGGGATCAAGTCCAGGAACATTTGCAAACCATTGTTTGCCTTACACTGGCCTCTACTTGATTGGCAACTCTGTGTTCGGTTGGAACTGCCTTGCTCCGTGGTTTTCATACCCCAACCGCACTGCAATGCGCCGCAGGTTTAACCTCGAGGCAAGTTCATGTCTTTTCCCACCATCAAGTTTGAGCTTCTTTTCTTTTTCTACTAGAAGTCCCTTTTTTTCTTTCTATTAAAGGCAAGTGTGTTGTTGTTGTTGTTGTTGTTGTTTTTGGGGTTTGGATGAACAGGGAAGCTGTGAGGCAGTGAACAGGTCGTGTGGATGTATTGGAAGCTGCATTGAAGACGAGTTCCAGCTTGAACAATGTGAGACTGCATGTGATTTTTCTACTCATGTTTTCTGTCACCCGTGCGCCCTTTGCCAGGAAGGCCGGGAGATTAGGCGCAGGGTGCCTCATCCTGGCTTTAAACCTCAGCCCATGCTGGTTATGCTCCCTCCCGGTTATCAGACCATGGCTCGCCAGCCTTGAATCTCTCTCACTGCTCATCATTTACTTAGAGGAGGTCATTGTTGGATGTTGATAGCTCCTACTTTCTCACTGCCCTCCCGGGTCTTGGTGTCTTGCTGGATCTCAAACGGTGTCTGTCTGGCTTGATGGTCCTTGTTAGAAGAATATATGCTGACAAAGTTGGTGTCCTTTTGTACTAAGCATGTAATGGTTACTTACTATATTGTGCTCTTGCTACTTGGTTTGGTCCAAGCATGTAATGGTTACTATAAGCGTGTTCTTCCTGTTGTAATAAGATGATGATGAATGTAGGAGACTGGCTTGGAAATTACATATTAATAAAATGCAGTTGTGTGATAGCTCATAGCATACTGCTTATTATTTGGTTATTAAGTTGCTCCCAGCTTACAGGATCTGTTTTGGGCGGAGTCCTCTCCTTGTAGATGGCCACCCAGGCTCTTCCTTTCGATCTTCGGAGACTATTTTTCTCTGGCTTTCAGCCTCCTTCCAATATAAAAAAAAAATACTGTATAACTAAAAGCAGCAGTCGATAAATAGCAAGGTTCTAAAAGGCGCTAGGCGTAAGGCAGGCGCTCGGCTCCTGACTTGCGCCTTGCCTGATTAAGCGTAGTCTAGGCGCACCTAGGCGTTCGGATCATAAGTAGAAAAAGTTCTCAAATATTTCCTGTTTTTTGGAATAATTCATATAATCCAGATGCATATAAAATTAGCAATGCCTAGTTCTTAACAGTAAACACTTAACATAACAAATAACAAGCAAATAGTGACCACTTCCTAGAATCACAAGTTCATAAAATGTCGAAATACTAAACAATAGTCAATAAGTTCCTAGGAAAATGTTCATTCTTCATCATCCAAGTAGGTCCGTCCAGCCACCACTTCATCTTCATCATCCTCAAAAGCAATCTCCTCACCATCCTCCTCCTCTTCAGACTCTAATTCTTCATCATGGAGCTCTCTCACTCGTGCACTCCTACGAAGCTCACTTTGTTCACCCGCCATTGCATCTGTAACAGTACTCGAGGGTGCACAATATGATTCATCATCCTCATCTACGAATACATACATAGCATGGTCATCCCCTTCTCGTGTTTCTGATTTTCTAGGGCAAGAGGAAATTTTCTGATTTTCTAGGACAAAACGAAGAGTATTGGGTTTAACCGCCTAAACTCGCCCAGGAACGCCTAGGCACGCCTTCTCTCCACTAGGCGCAAACTAAGCGCTATTCCTACCTACTAAGCGCTACCAGCGCCTTTTACAATGCCTATGGCCAAGTCAAGGCAATCCTCCACCGCCTAGCGCCTAATTGAGCCTAGGCGTGCGCCTAGGCGCGCCTTCTTGAACCCTGATAAATAGTCAGAATTATCTATAAGAGAGCATTTTGTGCCACTAAGCGGGTTTCCCTATTAAATTGACGCGGAGTAGAAGTACAAGAAAAATAAACAAAAAGCAGAGATTGCCCTTTCTTTCATACCTTCCAAGGATCTCGCAATCATGTGATGACCCGCCTCCTCTCCGCCTCAACTCTTTTTCCTTTCACAACTTCACACTCCAATTCCTTCCGCGTGTTGCTTTAAGATGCCTACCGTAGAAAACTAGAAATCACCAAGGTCGGAGAAGTCATGCTCTATACTAAGAATTCAGAGTCAAAAGAATACAGTAACCCAATTTTGTTAGCAAGTGAGAAAAGTGAAAAAGTGAATAGAGAAAAATAAATTAGTGTTTAGTTTGAGTAACCACCCAATTACATTTTCACTATTTATTTTAACATTACCCTTCCTATCATTGCGAGATTAAAACATAAACCATATAATTGTGTATTCGAAGAATTGCTCTTAGTGAGACGGGTATGAATATGAAGTTGAGAAGTCTAAAATCATACTCGTCTCATTTCCATTAAACTTTTTTGCGATTTTCACCCTTATCAAGTCAAAACAAGGATTCCTCACATTGATTGAGTCGGGTGCGCTCGATTACCCACAGTGATGAGTTTGATTGCTATCCCTAATCTTAGCTCTCGCATTTGACTGAGTAGGTGACAATTTAATACCTAATACTGACTGTTCCAAATGGGTACATTACATACATTAGAAGGAAAACGGTAAAAAGTAAATGACCAGCACTTTTAACCCCAGTAACGCATATGTTTGATCAAGAAAATGGAGACGGACACATGATAATTTATGTGCTTTAGTAGTCTTATTTTCGAGTTTGGTTACATGTAGATAAGTCCAGCGGCCCGAAATGGTGGCTATGTGACGTCAGCTGTCCATAATACTTTGAAGATTTGGAAGAATGGGAACGGAGACAATCACACAACAACACTAATTAACTGTAGTTTCAACTTTCAACATAAAACCGCGTTTTAGTTTCTAACCTCATCTCAATCCAAACACTGGATGGTTTCTGGTTATGACCTCTGAAGTCTAGAGTTCTAGCAAAAGGGGGGGAGGAGGAGAAATGACACAGACTTTAGAACTTCAACAGAAGAAACTAGTCAAACTAGTAACTCAAGAGTCAAGACATTAAACAGCTGGCTCGGGTGAATTTCAGTCACTCTCCCGGGGCAGAGACGCCTTGCTTCAGCCTTTCCCTCTTCATCTTCTTCTTGGAGACGGGCTTCTTCTTCTTGGGAGGCAGGGTCTTCTGTGCATACACGTAAAGCGCGTAATTCCCAATAAGGAACGCCAGGACGATGCTGCCAATAACCAGCAACACTATCAATCCAGGGTTCAGTCCTTTAGCTTCCACATTCTTTCCCTGTTGGTCATAGCAAATGGGAAACAGTAGTCATTAAATACAATATATATCATAAGATGGTTAAGGCTAGCTAAAACATCATCTAAACTCAGAGAACCATAAATTGTTTGTCCTTTAACTTATGAGACTTCATGTACTATCTACAAGCTGCGTAAAGGCTACAAACAGCAGAGGGAAATCATGAACAACAACAACCTGTATATCACGATTCTTATTACAATTCAAAGGGCGGAAAAGAACGCAGACCATAGACACGGAACCAATTGGCGCGCAAAGAAACAATAAAGAGGACTCCTACGCTCAGTTAACCAAAGAGATAGTTTGTCAAAACAAATAAACACACGACACTGTGCAAAATGCCTGGAAAGCCAAGAGAAGCAAAGATTCCTCATCATTATGCCAGGCAAATCAGAGTCCATATGAAATTTCAGCATTACACAGGCAGCAACATGAAGCAGCAGTCGAATATATACACAAGTAATCAACGATGACCGAAAAAATTTTCTTCTGCATGTTAATTCAGTGGCATTGATAAGAAGGGTTTAGTCAACAGAGCTATGATTTAGAGCCAACATTGCATACACAATCGAATCGAATTTCACTATAGTTGCTTTCATTCACAGTTTGTCACATGATCCGAAATCCCATGCCAATGAACCAAAATCCACAGCCATGTAAACGAAATCCCAAATCGAAGAGGTTAAACCCTTCTGACAACAAGAGAAACGCCACACCTTAACCGGCAAATCGAACAACCAAACACAAGATCGCGACCAGGGCTATGGAATCGCATCTGATCAGAATCAAGATCTGGCGGATCAACGTGGTAAAAAACCTAGATTCCGTAAAAGCAGATCTAAATTTTTTGCGGAAAAGAAAAAGGAAAAGAAACAGAGGGAATCGGAGAGAGAGGGAGAGAGAGGCTTCAACGGAGTTTTACCATGCGGTCGAACGATGGAGTGGAGAACTCAAAATCATCGGCCATCGGTCGTCGTCGTCGACGATCAGCTCCGCGTCCTGTGACTTGCCCGAGAGAAGATTCTAGAGAGAGGATCGACTCTCACTCAGACGGAATAACAACAATGGCAGTAAAACAGTAGGCGTTTTAGATTAGAGCTGTTTGAGGAAAACTTTCCTTCCCTATTTGATCCCCAAGGTTTTCGAGCTATCTATTCAGCTACTTTTGTTTTTTGGTGCCTTTCGTTAATCTTCCCGGCCCAGTTTCAACTACACGAAGTTGGATTGCGGCTCGGCTGGCCCAATTCGATACGATTACAGGACCAAAAATAGTAACGGGCTCCAAAGTCCAGACCACCTTTGATATTAATTATTTATTGCCAATACTACGGAAGGACCGAAAGAGTAGCGATTAGGGATGGCAAACAAACCCATGGCCGTGGGTATCCGACCGCCCCCGACCCAGTCAACTCGGGGAATCTCCGCATTGACTGGGTATGGGGCGGGTATGGGTAAAACCCGCAAACAATTTGATAGGTATGAGGCGAGTATAGTTTTAGCCTCCCCCGCCCCACTAAGCACATTTCTTCACATATAAAAAGTACATTGATTAAATTGTAATCTATCATTAATAGTGAGGGTAACTCATGAAAATAAACGGTAGAAATACAATTGGGTGACCACCCAAATCAAACATAATTAATTTTCTTCAAATCTTCCTTCATTCTTTGACTTTCTCCCTCATGTTAACAACATTATGTTAGTAAGTTATTGGCTTAATTGCAAGTTTGGTCACTCGAATTGCTACAAAATTTTACGTTTGCCACTCAAATTAATTTATTCCATTTATAGTCACTTAAATTAGTTTAACAGTCCAAGTTTGGTCACTGGCCGTTAGTCTCCGTTAACTTTTGCTGATGTGGCGGTCAACTCTTATAGTTGACCGTTAAATGCATGACGTGGCAACTAAAAAATTTAAAAACTTTAAAATTTAAAATTTCCACCTCACAACAGAGTTCCTCCATTTGCTCTGTTCCCAAATCGCACCACCACTGAATTCGTCTTGGTAACCAAGCAGATGCTGCACTCCCCACCACCACTCGAATCCGCCTCCACTTCCACGAGAGCATTCCCGAGTCTGGCAACCAGCACTCGTCCCCACTCGTTGTAAGCTCTCCAAGCCACCGAATCGATCATCGAGCCTCGATCCAACATACTCATCAGCACGCCATTGCTAACCCTAATCACGTGCTCCTCGGCCACACGCTTCAGTTCGTCCACTGACATCCTCTCAAATCCCGATTTTCCTCGTGAAGAAGCAGCATGATGATCTTGGCAGCGGATCAGAAACATCTCTAGGTCCTCCATTGCCTGCCCCTCTTGTTGCGCCCTGCATATCTGCTGATACTCTGCCTCTCCAACTCTGATCTTCTTCGCAATGTTCATCACCATCTTCACCTCCATTTTCTTCCCTTCGTCATCGGAACCGTAACGGCGTTTGGTTCCTGCCATGATTCCGTGCGCAGATTTAACGATGTGGGAGGCCAGCTCTGCTCTGGTCTTTACTCTGGTCCACGACGGCGAAGACGGTAACGATCTCCACTGGATGTTGTTCTCCAACGGGAAGGGGATGTTCAGACTCGAACACATCATCTTCTTGGAGACGGAATCGATGCCGAAGGAGTCGTCGTCGGTGGGGATTGTGAATCTGGAGCGATGTGATTCCACCACTATCTGCCTGGGCAATGTTGATGATGATTTCGCTGACGGCGGTGTTGTGGTGCCACGGGGCCGGTAGATGCGATCGACCTGGGTGACGAACAGGATTTGGGAAGAGGTGGAGTCGTTGGAGAGTGGTGTTGGAGAGCCGCCGGCGGGCTGGAGAGAAACGAATATGTCGTAGTGGTTTTTGTTGTTGACGCCAATGCTGGTTGCGGTGGTGGTATCACTATGAGAATCGTGACTTCCTGTTTCTGCCCTTGCGGATGCCGCCACTGTCGACATTTTCAGTAATTAGTGTTTGTTTGGAGGAGTGTTTTTGCGGGGCGGCAGAAGAGCTTGTGCCGGCGAAGAATTAAAACGGAAACGAGCTGGAGGATGGCTTACTTCGCAATTGGATGAGAGTTGAGCTAGGGACCGATGTAGAAAACACTCTTCATAAGGGTCGTCTCAATTTCTGCGGTTTCCTTTCTTCAATCTGGTTTCCGGTGCGGAAAAGGAAAAGCAAGTCCGTTGGTAGCTCGGACTCTATATATCACGGTCAAGGGACCAAAACTGAATCAATTTAGAATGCCGCCTTGACAAAAATATATAACTAGAAGAGATTTCTAAGATTTATGGATGCTGCTACTTCATCGATAGCTTGCTTGTAAAAACATACAGTATTACTAAAGTAATATATGCTCATCATCCACTCGAGCCCAATCCAACTACTCTACGAATGTAAAAACAAAAACTAAATAAACTATGAAGCAATGAATCTCTGTGCAATTCCAAGTTTCTCTTTCTAAGAACAACCGGAAGAGAGAGAACATGATTTTTATTTCCGGTTCCCTTCCCAGTTCCCATGCCTGCCTGATTTTGAAGTTGACTTGAGATTCCAAAAAAATGAAACGAAAGAGGTAAGGAGTAGAAGAGAGAGTGCAATGACCTCGATCTGAGAGAAGAGTCCCTGGAAGCCGCGACACCGGAGGAACTCATCAACGACATCATTAGCACCGTCGTCGGTAGCCGAAGCACCAGTACCGCCAAAGGTCGACCTGTCGCCGGCTTCGTCGAAGGAACAGTTCCCCAGTCTTCTCAGCGATGAAATTGAAGCGGATTCCTCCTCGTCAGAAACCGTGGACGACCTAGAAGCTCTGCCGGCGACGGAGGAGTGGTGGACGGAGACCAATTCGGCATTCAGCTGCTGGCGGTGGAAAATAATAATAAAAGAATTAGGATTTCCATTTTTTAATTTATAATAATTAGCTGGAAAATAAAAAATAATTTTATTTCATTATTTTTTAATTGCCACGTCACTTATTTAACGGTCAACTATAAGAGTTGACTGCCACATCAGCAAAAGTTAACGGAGACTAACGGCCAGTGACCAAACTTGGACTGTTAAACTAATTTAAGTGACTATAAATGGAATAAATTAATTTGAGTGGCAAACGTAAAATATTGTAGCAATTCGAGTGACCAAACTTGCAATTAAGTCGTAAGTTATTACTTAGTAGATGTATCAAAGTCAGAGAATAATGATTTGACTTATATTGTTACTCTATCTTATGGATTAATGGATGTTTTAGAATAAGATGCTTAGAATCGTTTTAAGAATGATTGTCTCTTTGTCGACTTTATGAAATAATAGGTGCGTTTAGTATTATAATTGAAATTTTACATGTAAAATTTTAACTATTATATTGTTGAATGTACGGGGCGGGTATTACCCACGGGTACCCGAAACCCACGGATACGGGGATGAGTTTGCAAATCCTTCCCCGCATGGATATGGGGCGGGTTTGGATTTGGGTATTTGATAGCGGGTATGGGGATGGTTTAGGGAAACCCGCTCCAAACCCGCCTCATTGCCATCCCTAAGTAGTGTGGGAGGACGAATTTTTTCCTTATTCTAGTAAAACTCTCCCTGTAAAGTCGAGTCCTGCAACTCCTGGATCTAGTTGGAGGAGGAAAGTAGGAAAGGAGGGAGTGGTGGTCCGAGAGATCATTGACTTCACAACGTTATTGGAGCAGGGAAAACGACAACGTCCACTTCTCCGCCTCTTCTGAGTTTATGAGAGCAAAGCCTCCTTCCCGACTAAAAGACAAAATAATTTGGGGCAAACAAAAAAAACAGAATAAAGTGTTTGGATGGAGAAGGGTTCTCCGTTAGTGTGGGAGAGGGGTTGGTTCAGTCGTCGTTACTTTTGATTCTGGGTCGAGTTAAATGAATTCAGTCACTGCCACATAAGCTCCATGTGGCTCAATTAAAGGCTGCGACACCGGTACCGCAAATTTTAGCGCGACACTGTAGCATCAGCCTTATTTATTTGTCAAACAAAAGTTTGTGGTACCTCAATAGATAGTGATGACAATGGGACGGGCGGGTACCTCAATAGATTCATGTTCTGCTGCCACGCTATTGTGGGTCGAAGCAGGTAATACTCGTACAGGGCAGGGCAGGGCGAGTCTACCCACTATTACATGTTGTTTATAAAAAAATACGGGCAAAATTTTACTTTCTACGCCCCATCACGAATCAGATCAGATAATACCCGACGGGATAAATTCAAATTGTCATCACTACTTGCAGATACGTGAGAGTAAGTGAGAGTAATATGTGTATATGCCAAACATTTACTGTGGAGGTGGAATGTGGCTGCTTTCCACTGATGCCTGCTAGTAGTGCTATGCTATGCTCGCTCATGTTAATTGGTCTGTTAGAGCACGCGCCCAATACTTACAGTAACATATGCATCATATTATTTCGAAAGCACTTTCAACTCAAAGATCGATCCAACTGTCATTACTCATTACAAGGCCTTAGGCCCATAAATATATGGACTTCACTTCAAGCCCGCCCGTTTAGTTGCTATTAACGTAACGACAGTCCTTCCTAACCTCCCCCTCCGGCCCAGTGAGCGGGTTGTTCTCCGACAATACCACCACCGCCCTGGCAAACTGCTGGTGGAAATAGCCGTTGTCGCCAGCCATCCTCTCCACAAACGGCGCCGTGCGAGGGTCGGAAGCCAGCTGCTGGTCCACCGAAAGCAACCCCTTGTGCTCCAGCACGTTCTTGTAGTACATGTTGTCCAGAATCATCGGGGTCTCGCGGTCGTTTCTCGAGTAGAGCACGGACTTCGGGTCCGGGTCCGGGGTCGGGCACCGGGCCTTGAGGTACCCGGCGTATTCCGGGTCGAGCGTCGGGTCGACGGTCGGGTAGAGCCGGCCCACCAGATTGACGCAGTGGACCCGGCCGACGGAGTGGGCCCCGAGGAGAGCGACCGTGGATTCGGTGTCGAGGCCCATGGACCCGAAACGGGAGAGGACGGCCGAGATGGAGTCGTTGTGGTTGGGGATGGAGCTCTCCACATCCGAAGCGTAGCTCTGCTTGCTGTCTCTGCGCCCCGTTTTCAGCTCCACTCTCGGGCCGCCCAGCTGGATATGATCAACAACAAAATTTGATTAGTGAATTAAGGC